TGTATAATTGTTTTTTAGTATGACGACTGACCACTGTAGTTTTGGATATATTTGTTGTTTTAATGTGTTATTATAATATGAATTATGATGTTTTTACCGATTGTATGTGTTTTTATGGTTGGAAACCAGTCTGGGTCCCTCAAAAGAGGTGAGAAGGTCGGTATATAAAACTCTGAAATAAATAAATAAAATAATAAATTAGAAAAAACATAACAATGTGGGTGAACTGCAATTCCCAGAATCATGGGTCAATCCTCCCCAAACCATGCCTGTATGCACAGCTGGCCATGTTGCATCTGTGTGCCAAGTTTGGTCCAGATCCATCGTTGGCTGGGTTCAGTACTCTCTGAATAAGGATGAACTACAGCTCCCATATGCCAAGGGCAGTCACCACCAAACCGTGCCAGTATGGCCACTATGGGTCTGTGTGCTAAGTGGTCCTGGTCCACTATCGAAGGAGGTCAGAGTGCTCTGCCTTAATGCAGGGTGAACTACAACTTCCATCCTGTAGAGTCAGTCCTCCAAACCTCTCCAGTCTGTTCAGTTGCTGGTCAATTCCTCACTGTTTGCTATGTGCCATAGGAAAAGGTTAAGGGAGAGGCAGTGGGCGGGGTCATGCAAATTCCACCCAAGGAACCCTGAGATGCTTGCCTGTGGTGGAGGAAATGTGTCAATGTGTATAGATAAATTTTGTTTCTCTTTTTCTTAATAAATAAGAATTTGTGAAGGGAATTTAGAAGGGTCACAATATTAGAGACTGGAAAAGCAGATAGAGCTGGGGTTTAATACACCTTTAAAGTCATTTGGATATTGTTTTCTGCCAATATGTTGGTTGCACGGCTCTGGGTTTGATTTTGATGCTTCAATAATCTATATAAATTAAAATGCAATGTTCATTTGTGGATTAACAGAACTCAAAAACCACGCAGGAATTGACAGCCTCTGTTTCAAAACCTTCAGAGAAGGAGACTCCACCTGATTCCCAGGCAGTCTATATTCCATTAGAGTTGGAAGGGAGCCCAAAAGGTCTGATAAGGAAGCCCTCTTGACAGATGGCCATTAAGATCCTCCAGGGAGGCCCTGCTTTCCGTCCCACCATTGTCACGGGCATGATTGGTGGGGACGAGAGACAGGGCCTTCTCGGTGATTGCTCCCCGGCTATGGAACTCCCTTCCTGGTGAGATCAGGTCGCCCCCCTCCTTCCTGTCCTTTAGAAGGATGGTGAAAACTTGACTGTGAGACCAAGCTTTTAAGCAGCAATAGGAAAGATTACCAGGCCAATTAGATTTGACGCTGATGACTAGGACGGTTTTAAATGGTGTATTTTAATATTGAGATAAATGTTTTTAATGTTTATGTATGTATATAAGAATTTGTGTTCTGGCATTGAATGTTTGTCGTATATGCTGTGCTCCGCCCTGAGCCACCACTGAGAAGGCCCTGCTCCTCGTCCCCACCAGCCTCACTTGTGATAGCGGTGGGGTCGAGAGCAGGGCCTCCCCAGATGATCTCAAATTCCGGGGTGGGACGTAGAGGGAGATACGTTCGGACAGATACGCTGGACCGGAACCGTAAAGGGTTTTGTAGGTCAAAACCAGCACCTTGAATTGTGCTCGGAACTGGATTGGCAGCCAGTGGAGCTGACACAACAAGGGAGTTGTGTGTTCCCTGTATGTTGCTCCGGTGAGCAGCCTGGCTGCCGCTCGTTGGACCAGTTGAAGTTTCTAGTTGTTATTGTGATTGCTCTGAATGCTATTGTGGGGCCTGTGCAGCCTAGGATCCCTTTGGGCTTTGGAGCTGCTTGAGCATCACAATGGACACCGGATGTGTGCTGTCGCACACTGGGCCTGTGCATATGACTGTAGACAGGACATAAATTCTTTGTGCCCAACGGGACGCCGGGGCTGCCTCAGATAAAGGCCCTTGGACTTCCCCAAAACAAAGTTCTGTAAAGGCTTAAAATAAGTCCAACAAAGTTATTTATTGATGAAAACAAACAGGTACTTTAAAGCTTTCTTAACAGTCTATAGGCTCTTTCAATCTTGTCCACAGGGAACAGGCACTATCTTCATAACTGTAATTAACTAATGGGGAGATCCTTAATTTCTAATTTGGGCAGTCTTTCTTTGCCTCTGTTAGCGTGGAGCCCCTGCACCCGGTACCAACTGCGTCTGGCTTCCGCGAGTGACCCTTACCAAGCAGAGCTTTGTAGACTTCCAGGGCAAAAGAAGGAGTTCAGGTTGCTGTGATGGCTGGCTGAAGTCCCTCAGCGAAGGAGCTGCAGGGCTGTACAACTTCGGCCAAGCCGTGGGCTGTATAACCCCGGCCAAGCTGTAGAGGCTTTTCTCCCTGGCCAAGCTGTAGAAGACAAAGCTTTCTACAGGAGCTCTTGGTTTTATGTCCTGTGTGAAAGGCTTCTCTGTGTGGACTGAACCAAAAAAGGCTCCTATTCCCTCCAAACTCAAAAAAGGGCGGGCCAGGGAACCCGACGATAATTGACAGGTGATCTATGGCAAGCATCCTCAGAGGTGAGGTCTCTTGGAACGGGGAAAAAGAGTTTATATCCAACAGACCTCACAACCTCTGAGGATGCTTGCCATAGATGCAGGCGAAACGTCAGGAGAAAGTCCTCTAGAACATGGCCATATAGCCCGAAAAAACCCACGAGAACTTAGTGATTCCAGCCATGAAAGCCTTCAACAATAATTGACAGGTGGCTTGCCCTATGATTGCAGCCAAAAGAAGCCACTTATCTGCAGAGTCCCTGAAACTTAGTACTGCAACAAACATTCAATGCAAAGCAAACAAAATTGGAGCTCCTGGTACAGCTGTACCTGCACAGGATGGCAGCACATTCCCTGCAGCCAGGAAAGCCTGGCAGCCCTTGAGAAGGAGAGAAGCTCAGAGTGGGAGGGAGGGAGGGAGGGAGCCCCAAAGGCCATCCAGTCCAGCCCCCTTTGGCCCGGGAAGCCCCTCCCCTTTTGCAAACCCTTCGGCCCCGCCCCTTTTGGGACAGAAAGATGATGACGTCACTCAGTCCCGCCCCCTTGGTGGCGGAGAGGCGAGACGTCACGCAGGCCACGCCCCCTTGACGGCGGGGAGGCGGGGCGTCACTTAGGCCACGCCCCCTCAACGGCAGGGAGGCGCGACGTCACTCAGCCACGCCCCCTTGACGGCAGAGAGACGCGACGTCACTCAGGCCACGCCCCCTTGACGACAGGGAGGCGTGGCGTTACTCAGGCCACGCCCCCCGACGGCAGGGAGGCGGGACGTCACGCAGGCCACGCCCCCTTGACGGCAGAGAGGCGCCAACGTCACTCAGGCCCCGCCTCCTTTGCCGCCGCCATTTCTGCGAGGAAGAAAAGAAGGAAGGAGAGGAAGAGGAAGAAGAAGGTGAGAGTTTTGGGGTCTCTTTTTCCCTCCGGGACCCATTTGGGTCTCTTCCAAGTGGACAAAGACTGCCTGAGAAGGGCCAGGAGTTCCTCTCCTGCCTCTGGGCCTCCTTTGTGCCTCAGGCAGATCAAAAGGGAGGGAGGGAGGCCTTTTCCTCAGCCGCGGCCTGCTCTTTCCTGAGGGATTCCCTCCCTGGAGGCCAGGCCTTGAGAGAGAGAGAGAGAGGGGGGGGCAGGCCCTTCTGGAGTCTCCTTGCAGAGGCTGCATTCAGCTTCCCATCCCGTTTTCAGCCTGAATATTAAATACTCTTGTCTCTTGAGTTTTAATCTCTGTTCTGTGTATTTTAATTACGTATATTATAGAAATAACGTTTTTATATCTTACTAGCGTTGCTTTGGCTCACATGGGGGTTCTGTGTGGGAGGTTTGGCCCAATTCTATCATTGGTGGGGTTCAGAATGCTCTGTGATTGTAGGTGAACTATAAATCCCAGCAAATACAACTCCCAAATGTCAGGGTTCTATTTCCCCCAAACTCCACCAGTGTTCACATTTGAGTATATTGAGTATCTGTGCCAAGTTTGGTCCAGATCCATCATTGTTTTGAGTCCACAGTGATCTCTAGATGTAGGTGAACTACAACTCCAAAAGCAAAGGACACTGCCCACTAAACCCGTCCAGTATTTTCTGTTGGTCATGGGAGAACTGTGTGCCAAGTTTGGTTCAATTCCATAATTGGTGGAGTTCAGAATGCTCTTTGATTGTAGGTGAACTATAAATCCCAGTAACTACAACTCCCAAATGTCAAGGTCTATTTCCCCAAACTCCATCTGTATTCATATTTAGGCATATGGAATTTTTGTGTCAAGTTTGGTCCAGATCCATCATTGTTTGAGTCCACAGTGCTCTCTGGATGTAGGTGAACTACAACTCCCAAACTCAAGTTCAATGCCCACCAAACCCTTCCAGTGTGTTCTATTGGTCATGGAAGTCCTGTATGCCATGTTTGGTTCAATTCCATCATTGGTGGAGTTCAGAATGCTCTTTGATTGTAGGTGAACTATAAATCCCAGCAACTACAACTCCCAAATGACAAAATCAATTTTTTTGAGTGGAGGACATAAATTGGACTGTTAGGTCTCTTGTGTCCAAATTTGGTGTCAATTCCCCCAGTGGTTTTTGAGTTCTGATGGTAGCACGAACTAACATTACATTTTTATTTATATAGATCGTGTAGAGTTTGGTCCAGATCCATCATTGTTTGAGTCCACAGTGATCTCTGGATGTAGGTGAACTACAACTCCAAAACCAAAGGACACTGCCCACCAAACCCTTCCAGTATTTTCTGTTGGTCATGGGAGAACTGTGTGCCAAATTTGGTTCAATTCCATCATTGGTGGACTTCAGAATGCTCTATAGTAGGTGAACTATAAATTCCAGCAACTACAACTCCCAAATGACAAAATCGATTTTTTTTTTGGATTGAAGGGCATACATTGGGTTGTTAGGTGTCTTGGTGTCAATTCGTCCAGTGGTTTTTGAGTTCTGTTAATCCCACAAAGGAACATTACATTTTATTTATATAGATCTTTTATAGAAATACGTTTTAATATGTTTTTTTTTGTTTGTGGAATTTTTGTAATGTTTATAATGTGTTTCAATTATGTATTGTCGAAGGCTTTCATGGGTAGTTGTCTGGCCATGTTCCAGAAGCATTCTCTCCTGACGTTTCGCCCACATCGTTGCAAGGCATCCTCAGAGGTTGTGAGGTCTGTTGAAAAATAGGCAACTGATTATGTATTGTCGAAGGCTTTCCTGGCCGGAATCATTAGGTTCTGTGTTTACCAGGCTGTTTAGCCATGTTTCAGAAGCATTCTCTCCTGATGTTTTGCTCACATCGATGGCAGGCATCCTCAGAGGTTGTGAGGTCTGTTGGAAACTAGGCAAGTGATTATGTATTGTTGAAGGCTTTCCTGGCCGGAATCACTAGGTTGTTGTGTGTTTTCTGGGCCGTCTGACCATATCCTGGTAGCATTCTCTCCTGACGTTTTGCCCACATTGTTGCAAGGCATCCTCAGAGGTTTTGAGGTCTGTTGGAAACTAGGCAAGTGATTATGTCTTGGTGAAGACTTTCCTGACCGGAATCACTAGGTTGTTGTGTGTTTTCCGGGCTGTCTGGCCATGTTCCAGAAGCATTCTCTCCTGACGTTTTGCCTGCATCTATGGCAGGCACCCTCAGAGTTTGTGAGGTCTGTTGGAAACTAGGAAACTGGGGTTTATATATCTGTGGAATAATGTCCAGAGTGGGAGAAAGAACTCTTGTCTGTTGGAGGTAGGTGTGAATGTTTCCATTGTGGACAACAAGTTAAATATGAGCCAACAATGTGATGCAGTGGCAAAAAAAGCCAATGGGATTTTGGCCTGTATCAATAGGTGTATAGTGTCTAGATCTAGGGAAGTAATGCTCCCCAGGCTCTATTCTGCTTTGGTTAGATCACATCTGGAATATTGTGTCCAATTCTGGGCACTACAATTGTTGTCCTCGTGGACAACAAGTTAAACGAAAAAAGCCAATGGGATTTTGGCCTGCATCAATAGGAGCCTAGTGTCTAGATCTAGGGAAGTAATGCTACCCCTCTATTCTGTTTTGGTTAGACCACATCTGGAATATTGTGTCCAATTCTGGGCACCACAATTCAAGAGAGATATTGACAAGCTGGAATGTGTCCAGAGGAGAGCGACTAAAATGATAAAAGTTCTGGAGAACAAGCCCTATGAGGAGTGGCTTAAGGAGCTGGGCATGTTTAGCCTGAAGAAGAGAAGGCTGAGAGGAGATATGATAGCCATGTATAAATACATGAGAGGAAGTCACAGGGAGGGGCGAGCAAGCTTGTTTTCTGCTTCCCTGGAGACTAGGATGTGGAACAATGGCTTCAAACTACAAGAGAAGATTCATCTGAACATGAGGAAGAACTTCCTGACTGTGAGAGCCGTTCAGCAGTGGAACTCTCTGCCCCGGAGTGTGGTGGAGGCTCCTTCTTTGGAAGCTTTTAAACAGAGGCTGGATGGCCATCTGTCGGGTGATTTGAATGCAATATTCCTGCTTCTTGGCAGAATGGGGTTGGACTGGATGGCCCATGAGGTCTCTTCCAACTCTTTGATTCTATGATTCTATGAGAGATATTGATAAGCTGGAATGTGTCCAGAGGAGGGCGACTAAAATGATCAAGGGTCTGGAGAACAAGCCCTATGAAGAGCTGGTCATGTATAGCCTGATGTAGAGAAGGCTGTGATGAGACATGATGAGGGTCATGTATAAATATGTGAGAGGAATCCACAGGGAGAAGGGAGCAAGCTTCCTTTCTGCTTCCCTGGAGACTAGGACGCAATGGAACAATGGCTTCAAACTACAAGAAAGGAGATTCCATCTGAACATGAGGAAGAACTTCCTGACTGTGAGAGCCGTTCAGCAGTGGAACTCTCTGCCCTGGAGTGTGGTGGAGGCTCCTTCTTTGGAAGCTTTTGAAAGAGGCTGGATGGCCATCTGTCGGAGTGCTTTGAACACGATTGTCCTGCTTCTTGGCAGAATGGGGTTGAACTGGATGCCCCAAGAGGTCTCATCCAACTCTATGATTCTGTGATTCTGTAATTTAGACAACATAGATAGAGATGCATAGAGGCTTTCCCATCTTTTGGCATCTTGGAGGCTGTGCTCAGTTCTTTGTATTTTAATGTATGTTCTGTGTAATGTTTCCAATGTATTCAACCTTTGCCGGAGAATAGAACTCAGCCCCTTGGAATGGCCATTTGTTGGGAAGGCTTTAGTTGTGTATTCCTGCCTGGCCAAAGGTGGTCAGACTAGATTACCTTTGAAGTCTTTTCAGATTGAATATGGACTGCCAGGGAGTCTGGTGGAGTCTCCACCTTTAGAGTTCTGTGAAACAGAGGCTGGGTGGGCATTTGTTTGGAAGGCTTAAATTGTATATTCCTGCATGGCATGAAGGGATTGGGGGAGTGGGGTTGGTCAGAGTAGCTGACCTTTGGGATTCCTTCCAAATGTAATACAGACTGCCTTGGAGCCTGGTGGGTTCTGCATTTATAGAGGTCCTTAAGCAGAAGCCAAATGGCCATCTTTTGGAAAGGCTTGGATTGTGTCTTCCTCCCTGGCAGAAGAGGGCCAGACTAGATGATCTTTGAGGTCCCTTCCGTATCTCATATACTTTGCCTGGGAATCTGGTGAATTCTCTTTCTTGAGAGGTCTGTGAAACAGAGGCTAGATGGCCATTTGTTGGGAAGGCTTGGATTGTGCGCCTTCCTTCCTAGCAGAAATGGGTGGGACTAGATGACCTTTGAGGTTCCTTGCACATTTCATATAGACTGCCTGGAGCCCCTTTTACCCAGCTGAATACAACGCCACATTATCTGCTTTGAACTGGGATAGATGGCAGTGTGGATACAGACATTCCAGTACAAAGCAGATGTTGTGGGATTTCCTGCCTTGGTCTTCTGGGTCATATTGCTTTGTGGAAGGGCCCTGAGAGTCGTAGAATCAAAGAGTTGGAAGAGACCTCATGGGCCATCCAGTCCAACCCCATTCTGCCAAGAAGCAGGAACATTGCATTCAAATCACCCCTGACAGATGGCCCTGACAGTCTGGTGGAGTCTCCTTCTCTAGAGGCCTGTGAATAGAGGAATTGTTCTTTCCACTATTAAAGGGTGTCACTCCCTTGGCCAGGCTTGGATTGTGTGGCAGAAGGGGGTCAGACTAGATGGCCTTTGGGAGGAGGTCTGCACCACCTCCAGGTTTTTATGCTACTCCTATGTGTCCCTATTGCCTTTTCTTTCCTTTTCTTTTTGTGTTGATAGCCATGTATAAGTATGTGAGGGGAAGTCAGAGGGAAGAGGGAGCAAGCTTGTTTTCTGCTGCCCTGGAGACTAGGATGTGGAACAATGGCTTCAAACTACTAGAAAGGAGATTCCACCTGAACATTAGGAAGGAAGA